AAGAAATGCATTTCATAACTATCCTCACCATAATCTTCAGAAGAGAAAAATGCTATTTGAAATTGTATATCTATCAATGAGTTTCACATAATACAGATTTTATTACAATTGTCCTCACATGCCTGTTAAAAGAGAATTATAATGTATTCTCACCATCTTTTGTCTTTAATCTTTTTGTCCCACCTACTCTGTCCTTAGATCACCAATTTCTATAGCTAATTTGAGGACATCTTTAAAAAAGATACTAGCATGGTAAATATTACCTATACTCAAGAATCTTAACAATTCCAGGGTTTATTGTTGATAATTTTAATAAATCTTTGAGTAGCAAACAAGTGTTTTATTTGTTTTCTCTTAGAAATGACAACAGATGATCTGAACCAGGACAACTCCACTGAGAAGGAAAACGTTGTGGAACTCACAGAGTAATCTACTTCTGATCATTAAGACTCTCCAGTTTTGCAAAGTATTTTGTAAACCTCAAACACAGTTTTAAAATACTATTAGTATCTCACGTTTCTTGTAGTATTTTTGTTTATCTTTCTTCTCTAATTCTAGGCTTTTATTTATTTAAGACTTTTGACTTCAACTAGTAGAGTGATAATTATTTCCATCTTAGTATTATACAAGATTGGACACGATAGTTGGATTGATTTGAAAAAAGAAAAGGTTTGGGCAGTCTGCTCACCCTGCTACCTTACAGAGAAGCCTTTAGAGTAGAGACAGTCCCTTACTCCTTACCTAATGTGTCAAAAACTGGAAATGACAGCCTTCTGCAAATGGACCATGTGCAGCTTCTTCCAGCATACCCCAAACTGTTGTGTCAGTTAAGGGTCACGTTCAGCCTCATTTTATTTGTTAACCGTAGTGTTAAAAGAGAGAGCAAATACCAAAGATAAAAGTACAGATTATGAGAAGTCTGACACTTCTATTTCAAAGGGCTGTTGACTGTAGTCCAGACAATCTCTGGTGTGAGCCTAAGTGATTGGTTTCTAAGGGTCAGAACCCAAGAGGATGCAGGATTGGTGCTCTCTCCAGTGCGCTGGCCTGCTTCTCTTATGCCCTGCCTCTGCTTCAGGACGCCCACCTTCTGATGCAGACGCTCAGTATTTGGCATGAGAACCCTAAAGTTACACGCAGGAGGAATCCAGCTCATTCCATAAGACTTTCTAACCATTTTCAGAATATCTAAGGAGGCATTAGGGACTTAAAATGTATTTTGTATGGAATTAGGAGACATCCAAGAAAAATTTTATGAAAAGGCTCCTTAGTTTAAAAGTCCATTGTAGTGTTTCATTTTTCTTATACAAATTTCAGGTCTTATACAGAGAATGCTGAAATTCCTCATTTTCCACAAGATTTCGAAGTTGCAAAATATAACACCTTGGAAAAAGTAAGAGCCTGATTTGTAGTTGAAAAAATACCCCCGAATGTCTTCTGATTACTTTTCCTGTTTGATAATTTTCTCATTGTTTTGGAAAATTGTGCATATCCTGAATAAATATTTAATAGATGAGTTGATTTTTAATAGTCAAAAAAATTTTATATTTAAAATGTAACATTTAACCTCTTAGTGTTTTTATTATAAAAGTAATACCTGCTCACAATAAAATATAAACAGTACAAAATATTGATGGGACTTTAAAAGTAAAGGACTTCTTCCGTGTTTATTAATGGCTTCTTGTATTTTAAGAGTAGATTTGACACTGTTTACATTATGTTGAATTTCCGTTACCACTCATTAAAAAGAAAAGGAGATAATTTTTTCTCCAATGTCGTGTAAATGAAAACCCTCGCATTCAAAATGATGCCCCATTTGTATTTTTTAGATATTTTAATGAAATGTAACGTGAAAACAACATTCCTTCTGTGATAGAGAAAATATAAAAAGTGGTATAGTTTAAACACATACAGATAGATCTGTAGTAAAAATACAGGCAGGAGATATACCAAAATATTAATAGTAATTATATCTGTAGTGTGCTTTCTGGTAATTTTTATTTTTTCTTCATACTTTGTGTATTTTCCGAATTGTATCTCGCGTGAACTTGTATTGGCTTTATAATCTACATTTTTAAATGGTGCGTGCGGCTTGTTATTTAATGGACACACGACCTATTTTCCAGGTTGGGGCGGAGGGTGGTAAGGCAGTGGCGGTGGTGGAACTGCAGTGCTCCCGGGAGGAGCCCGGGGACGCCGCCTTCCTGATATCCGCACACTTCCTCTCGGCCACCGGCGTCAAGGTATCGATCTTTATATTGATTCGTATGTGTTTATCCACCCTCGTTCATAACTAGTTTCCTTAACATTGGTCAAGGTACCGGCCAATCTGTTACCCTTTTTCTTTTTACCTGGTAAATGGTTTTGAAAAGTTGAGCCGTGTTCTCCGTTGCAATGTAGCAGGTGAAGGAAAGGGGTGAGAGCGGCACCTTGACTAGAGCCGCACGGGGTTCTTCAATGTCAATAGGGGAATATTCAGCGTGTGCAGGGCACGTGGGCTTCCTGCCCCTGTGTCGAAGCACTTAGGGGAACTTTCCTAACGCACACACTGCTAAAAACCACCCATTCACACACTTTAAGTACCTGCTGAGTACCAAGTGATCTACCAGAAGCCAAAGATAAAAATTACTTAGGGGCGCATGGGTGGCTCCGTCGGTGAGGAGTCTGACTTCAGCTCAGGTCATGATCTGGCAGTACACGAGTTCAAGCCCCGCCTCAGGCTCTGTGCTGACAGCTCCAACCCTGCAGCCTGCTTCCTTCTGTGTCTCCCTCTCTCTCTCTGCCCCTCCCCCTTTTGCATTCTCTCTCTCTCTCTCTCTCTCTCTCTCTCTCTCTTAAAAATAAATAAACATTAAAAAAATTTTTTTTTTAAATTACTTCAAACCCTGCCCCTCAGAGGTAGATCACCACCAGGGAAGATTCATGATTGTAACCCTCTGGGACAGAACTGATACTGAAATGTAAAGTATTGTAGGCTCACAAACAACCAGGAAGCCTTTGCAGACCCCGAGACCTTTGCATTAGGTCACTGTCAAGTCAAGGGCATGGTTCCCATCTGAAACTATTATGACACAAAAATAAATTCAGAACTAATACCTAAAGTTCAAAGCAAATGCTGCCACACCGTCAGGGTGTCTTCCGTTTAGACAGACTTACAGGCAGGAAGCACAGCACCCACAGGGCACACAGACCCTCTTCAGGGGGAGTGGTCCTCGCAGCATGTTACTCAGGCTCTGGATGCTTCTGGCTTTGCCCCCGCTGGAGGTGCCAGCTGTGGTGCCAGGAGGGAGACTCACATCAGGAGGAGGCACGATCTACCTGACGTAGAAAGTCACCCACAGTAGCCCATACCTGTTGTAACATAGGCCTAGGTTGGAGATGTCTTGAAGGGAGATGCCCATCGCTTGCATCACTGCCCTCAGGGAAGCCCAAGGCTCAGGTTTCCCACCCACCATTTAAGTTTCATTCATTGAACTCCTGGTCCTGATGCAATTTATTAATGAGAGGTCACTATTACCTAAGCAATTTTGCCTAATATTACAGCGTCCCACCCTTACCAGCTTTCCACAGGAACAAATATAAAAAGTTAATCCAAGTCAAATGTGTCCAAGGAGGAGAAGGGGTTTTCTTAACTTTTTACCCAAAGACATGTGCTCTACTTTGTGGAGGATTTAGTTGTGTGGGTAAAAAGTAAGGAAACATCAAGTTGAAAACCATGACAGAGTGTGTTGTCACTGGTTTTCTTTACTGAAAACTATAAGGCTGCATCAGCCACTGTGTCCCCTCCTGCTTACTATCTCGAGAGCCCTTCCTGAGTGCCTTAGCAGGCGTGAGTCTGAGAACACAAGTAGAGTGCTCCTCCGGTGAGTGTGTTCACTTTGATAGAAATTATCCTCACCAACTGTGAAAGAGCTGTCCTGCAGAAGAGGCTTTTCTAGTTTGCCCCTCTCATAAAAAGCCAATTTGATGGAAACCTTCCAAAATTGTGTTAAACTCTGCCTTCTCAAATGGAGTGACTTGAACATGGTATGCTCTTTTCTCTAAGTTTCAGAGGTGTCCTGTGGCCAGCAGTGCGGGAGGGCAGTTGAGCAGTGTCATGAGTAGCCTGGCTTCTTCCTGGGGCGGCACACTCCAGAGCCAGAGGCTTGGCTGACACCCAAACCGACACCCATGGGCAAGACCTCCCCTGTTCTCTGAGGTTAATGACTTTGGGATAACTGCTCACTACAGGAGCACAGATTTCCAGGAAAAGCAGAAGAATGCCACATCCATGGGCAGGTTGGAATGAGGGAGACAGTTTGCGTCTATCCACAGGATGCCTTGTTCCACTCCCTCAACATTATTTGCGTGACCTGAGAGCTTTCTGCCTTTCTCCTTGCTGTGGTAGTATCATTTCATTTTGACGGTGTGCTTGTCCCTAACAGTACCTCATTTCTGAGCTATTTTTCTTTTGCTCCCTTCCCCTGATTTATTTTTCCCATTTCCAAAAAGCTTGAAAGCCAGATTTCAAAGCTAATTAGAATAGTATGTAAATTAAGAATGTGTAGTCTCTGAACAGACGTTTGAGTGACTCTCCAGTGAATCAAATGTGCCTCTTCTGCATGTTGGGCCTGCTCAAGCTTTTCTCCCTTTCAGGTTTTAGGCTGTTTTGTGAAGGATTGAAGATTTAAGTAATTCTTTGAAAATAGTTAATAAACTTTTTCATGGCAGGGATCCAATGCCTATTTACATTGCTTTCCCCTGTGGTACATAGGAGGCCTTCGGTAAAGACCCGTATGTGAATAAGTTAGTACATCCTCGCATCCTGACATTTTGCTCCACGCTATGATTCACAGACTAGAAGACACTTCTCTGTAAAGAAAACCTCTGCAGATGCAAGTGAGCACTATGAAAATTACATTGAACAACTGAAGAAACAAGGATTTCTGCTAAGGGAATATTTTACACCCGAAGCAACCCAGTTGGCATCTGAAAAACTGCAGGCGGTAAGACTGACTCATGTGTTTAGTTTTTGTGACTGACTGAGTATGTTGAATAGAAGTGTTTTCTTTGTGACAAATAAAAACTTGGCAGGAGGGAAGAGTGGGAGTTAAGAACAGGAAAGGTAAACTCACAAAAATGCACGGCAGGGCAGCCGGTGGGGAGTGAGTTCCAGGATAAGCCATGAAACTTCCTGCTTGCTTCAGCAACAAACCCTCATGGCTTTCAAAAAATTTGATTACAACCTGGGCCAGGACTCAGGGGTCCTTAACCCTTCATGCTGCTTAACCTTTGATGCCACTGGCAGGCCTCGAGCTGATAAAGTGAAGGAAGAGTCAAAAGGAAACATAGAGTGGGAGTAAAAGAGAGAAGGGAAATGAGGAGAGTGTGGGGAGGAAGTGGAAGCTCAAAGTTATCAGTCACTTGACTGCCTGTGACTCTTTGCCTGGCTGAAATTAATGATTTCTTCTCTCTTGGTTTTAGATCAGTCCACTTACGAAACTTCTTGTTGGTTTTTCAAATGTTGTCGTTGCAGTTGCTTTTGGAGGAGGTAATGAATTCAAGCACTCTGAGCAAAGAGGTGAGCGATTTGGTGGAGATGGTCTGGGCGGAAGCTCTCGGCCACCTGGAGCACACACTTCTCCAGCCTGCGAACAGGATTAGTCTCAATGACGTGAGTCACGTGCATCCTCCAAGCAAACCTCTATCGTGACAGACCCACTTTCTGGCTCACTAGCTTGAATGATAGCACGTGTGTTTGCGCACCGGCCTGGTTGTTCTGGATGCGTCCCTGACATGCTTTTTCGTACCTTGGAGAAAGGGAATGTGGAGAGTGCTGAGAGGAAAACAAGCTTCCGGGAAAACTAGATGTTCCTGTCTCTCAAATGTCAGACCCAAGAACTGCTCCAAGCAGGCTTTTCGGTGCCAGCTCTGTAGGAGGCCCGCTCTCCTAGGTCCCGAGGTTTGTGGCAGGCCTGAGGGACAGGGATGCTGTTGGTCCTCAGTCGGATGCTCAGACCCTATTCTGCTTCCGTCACTGCTTCACAGTCTTGGAACTTGTGACTATTGTAGAGAAAGACAGCATGCTTCCAGAAGGTACTCTTCTTAATTTTACATGATTGAAGGAGCAAGTGAAGACAGTATTCCCAGTGGTACATTTGCGTTGTCGTAGTAAAATAGTACAGTCTTCTTCTGTGGAACTGAACTAATTTATTTCAGGGAGAAAAAGGTTTCCTGGCACAAGGCTCAAAATGCACTTGTGTAATTAGAAATACATTCTGCTGAATTTTGTTCTCACTCTGATTCTTTCTAAATTTCTAAAGTTCTTTCTAAAATCTTTCTAAATTTCTTGTGTGAAAAGCACATCTCCTATGGTTGTGTTAGAATTCCTCTGTCTGTGAATATAGACATAGCTGTGGATGCAGTTGTAGCTATAGATACAGATGTAGATGCGGGTATAGATATGGATACACAGATACAGATATTTAAGGCTCTGGTTCTCTCCTTTAGTTAAGCTGAGCCCATTTTTGGAAACCTTCTCATGGCATCATTGTCACAGCTGAGATACAGCTCCCATAAACGTGGCATTTGTTTTATGGCTGGTGTCCAGTAGAAAACTGATAGTTATGACATATCTAACAACTATTTTAGGTATTTTTATGCATGTTCCTTCACTTTCTCTTTGATTGTAAAGATTCAGTTTTAATAAGAGTATATTGTTGTCCACTTAAAGGTGAGCAAGGCGGAGGGAGTTCTCCTTCTAGTAAAGGCAGCCCTGAAAAATGGAGAAACAGAAGAACAATTGCAAAATATGATGACCGACTTCTACAGATTAATACCTCACAGAGGCACAGCAACTGAAGAAGTGAACCTGAGACTATTAGCTAAGAAAGAGGACCTCTGCCAGGTAAATCTCTGAAATACAGAATTCAATTAAAAATATGTTGGGGAAGAATCTTTTCAAATCTGATTAATAAGATAGCACTGAATCACAAAAGTTGGCTCAAAAATAAATGCTGAGCCATTTTAGAATGCTTTGGATCCTCATGGAAGTTATCTGAACCATGTTCCCAAACACGAATGTGTTGGAATACTAGTACAAAGGCAGATAGGTTTCGAATTGCTGCACGGTAAAGTAATTTTCTACATTAGGATGATGCCGGCCGGCCAGGTCTGAGGACCCAGAGAGGCTTCCTGGCTGCTCACAGGATAGAAATCAGCGGGATTGATGGGGTGCCTGGATGGCTCAGTCAGTTAAGCGTCCAACTTCGGCTCAGGTCATGAACTCGCTGTTCATGGATTCGAGCCCTGCATCAGGTTCTGTGCTGGCAGCTCAGAGCCTGGAGCCTGCTTCTGATTCTGTCTCCCCCTCTCTCTGCCCTTCCCCCACTTATCTCCATGTCTCTCTCTCTCTCTCAAAGATAAACATTTTAAAAAATTAAAAAAGAAAGAAACTGCAGGATAGAAATCAAAGGTGGGCCAGCGGGAGGTGAAAGCAGAGGTTACTGAAGGGAGAGAGAGTGCAGGTACAGGCAGTGTCTGGGAGAGGGAATCTTATCTTTGCCTGAGGTCTGGGGTTTCTGGGGAAGGTCGTGGTCTGGTGTACATGTGCTCTCAGGCATGCAGGAACTGCTCAAAACAAAGTGAGGGCTTAGGTGATGTTCCTTGGAGCCAGGAGGGTTGTGTGAGATATGTAACTCTGGTGATCTGGAATGCGCATATACTGGCTTCTCGGGTCTTCTCACCTGGTCCTTCCTTAGGTATTATCTCTTCTACAGAAATCCTTAACTGCTGGTCCCCTACAAGGAGGACATGCACTATTTGCATTCTGACCTGTGTGTAAAGTGGGGGTCCTAACAAGAATAGAAGCAGGAAAAGGAGTACAAAGCAGATTTTTATGGAGTCCTTCAGTTTCCCTATCTCAAGGAGATGAGTTGGGATTGTGTTTGTAAAAGAAACAGAAAGCTGTAATTGCCTTGAACAATGAGGATACTTACCCCCCTGTATAACAGGAAGCCAGCTGTAGGGTGACTGCTGGTCCAGTCGCTCAAAGGTAGCATTATCATCAGGGGCCAGCTTCTTCCCATCTCTGTGCTCCCTTCTCCACCTGGCTCCCCTTACATCACCTTACAGCTACAGTGCTTCCTAGCATCCCATCCAGAGTATTTCTTTTCTTGTCTCTTAGAGGAGGCTCCCCCTACCCCCTTCAATCCAAAATAAGTGAAGAACCAACAGATGAGATGAACCAGTCCGCAGGATGAGAAAGGAGTCTTCCAAATTTAAAGTTTCATGATTTGCCTAACCAGAAGAAAGAACCTCAGTGGCTGGTTTTCGTATTGAGCAGGTGTCTGGGATGCCCATCCAAATGCTTTTTCATTTAACTTTTATATATTTTCAGTAGGTGATGCATCTGCATTATTCAAAAGTCAAAATTATATATTTTTTAAAGTTTATTTATTTTGAGAGAGAGAGAGAGAGAGAGAGACAGCAGAGGAGGGACAGAGAGAGAGGGAGACAGAATCCCAAGAAGGCTCAGCGATGTCAGCCCAGAGCCTGATGCCAGGCTCGTGACCTGAGCCAAAATCAAGAGTCAGATGCTTAACCGACTGAGACCCCCAGGTGCCCGGTCAAAATTATATTTACAAGGAATACTCAGAGTAGTCTCTGTTCTACCCTGTCCCCTCCACCCATTGCAACTCCCCAACTCGATAGATAACCATTTTTACTAATTCGTTTGTCTTTGCAGTTTCTTTATGCACAAAACTGTAAATATTCACATATATACTTATTCCTCTTCTCCTTTTTTTAAATAAAAAGTCATATGCCATCTTTGCTGCTCTGCACCCGCTTTTCCCACTTAACATATCCGGTACATAGAGAGCATCTTCACTCCCCACATTGTGGATTGTTTCCGGACTTTGCTACTACAAACAGTGCCACAGTGAATACATTTTTGTATTTGTCATTTCGTACCTTCAGAGGAGTGTCCCTGAGACATGTCCCAGGACTAGAAGTGCTAGCTTACAGGATGAATGCATCTGTAATTGTGATAGATTTTGTCCGATTCCCTCATAAAGGTCCTACTGTTTGCCCACCCATCATCAGTGAATGAGAGTTTCTATTTCCTGTAGTTTTACCACAAGTGTATTTGTCAAACTTTTATAGACTTTACCAATTTCGTGGACGAGAAATGACCTCTCAGTTCCAGGATTTGTATTTAGGGGACATTTGTGTGTCTTTTTCTGTGAACTGCCAATTCATGTCCTTTGCCTCTTTTTTCTTTTGGATCTTGATATTTTTCCATGATTTTTAGGACATCTTAAGAAGTTAGGGAACTTAGTCTGGGACATGAGTTACAAATATTTGCTACAGTTTATTTGTTTCGTTTTGTTTTGTTCTTTACTTTGCTTATGGTGAATTGGGGTGATGGTTGACGTGTTCTATTTCACCATACAGAAATTTTTTTTTTTAATTTTTTTTTTCAACGTTTATTTTTATTTTGGGGACAGAGAGAGACAGAGCATGAATGGGCGAGGGGCAGAGAGAGAGGGAGACACAGAATCGGAAACAGGCTCCAGGCTCTGAGCCATCAGCCCAGAGCCCAACGCGGGGCTCGAACTCACGGACCGTGAGATCGTGACCTGGTTGAAGTCGGACGCTTAACCGACTGCGCCACCCAGGCGCCCCATAAATTTTTTACTTTTATATAGAAAAATTCATCAGTCTCTTCTTTTCTGGCTGGTGTATTTGAATTGAAATTAGCCCCTCGCCACGCCAAGGTCATAAGGATGCATGGCAAGTAGAGTGAATAGGGCTCCCCTGTCAATGTCTCCTTAGCCTCAAAGATGGTGAAAGCAATACATTCCTGTATGAACGTAATTCAGATTATCCAGGAGCTGTGTTCCCTCCTCCAAGCTCCATGACCTATGAGTATACTAAGTATACCAGGGTTCCCTTTCAGGGAAGACACCTGTTTCTTCATCATTTTTGTGTCTTTCAAATCTAATACCAGCCTGGCATAGAGAACATGTTTAATGAATTTTTTGGTAACAGAATTGGACTTGAGTCCTGATGATCTGAGTTCCTATTTAGTCACTATCCCCTCTGTGGTGTGGAGTCATGAGCAATTGATTCAGCTTCTCAGAGCCTCATTGTCCCCATCTATACAGTGAGGATAATAAGATCTAATAAGACCAGTGTAACAGTGTGGATTAAAGGAACAGTGTAGCTGAAAACACTTTATCAACAATGAGGTGCTGTCCTAATGTACACTATTATTATTATTGTATATTATGCTATCACTGAGGGCACAATACATACTAAAGGTATTACCTTTAATGTGCCACTTACATATTGATCAAAATATTGATCAAAAGCTTTGGGAGGGGCACCTGGCTGGCTCAGTTGGTGGACCATGTGACTCTTGATCTCTCTGGGTTTTGAGTTCAAGCCCCACATTGGGTGCAGACATTACTTAAAAGTAAAACCTTTGGAAGAAAAAAAGCTTTGGGGAAATAAAATCTTATTTTTCCAATGTTTTTGAGAAAGTGTAATGTGCTATAAATATTTTGATATGTAGTGATTCTAACGTCTTACATCATTTCCATCTACAGCTAATAAGAGACATGGTTAATGTCTGTGAAACTAATCTGTCCAGACCCAACCCGCCTTCTCTTGCCAAATACCGAGCTTTGAGATGCAAAATTGAGCATGTTGAACAGAACACTGAAGAATTTTTCAGAGTTAGAAAAGAGGTTTTACAGAATAATCACAGGTATGCATAAAGGAAATGTCTTAGGATCTGTTATTATGTAATACTATTTCAGATTCTGTTAAAAAGCTACTGTCCAGGGGTGCCGAGGTGGCCCAGACGCTTGATTTTTGCTTAGGTCATGATCTCATGGCTCCTGAGTTCAAGCCCCCTGCAGTTGGGCTCCACACTGAGAGGGCGGAGCCTGCTTAAGAGTCTCTCTTTCTCCCTCTCCCCACCCCCCACATGCATGCGGGCATGCTCTCTCTCAAAAAAAAAAAAAAAAAAAAAAAAAAAGCTACTCTCCACAATAACCGGTATGATTTAATCCTCTATAACAAGGTAACTATATTGTGATGACAAATTTCTTTCTTCAGTGTTTATAATATACCTTGGGACAGTATTCTATGCTTGAAAACTCTCCCCATTCACTCTGAGTTCAAGCTTACCTAATCTTGCTGAGAATTAAATTTAAAAATTTTAAACCACAAGGCTTTTTTTGTATTTTGAAGGGTGTTATGTAGGAAAACCCATTTAAATTAAGATTTCAAAATGCAGCTGTGTGCATGGTAGCTTCCAAGACGCCCACTCGATGGCATGAAAACACTCAGTTGAAAATCTGGAAAACATGGCCAGAGATATGGCACCCCTAACCATCAGTCACATCCGTTATCTGTTTCCTCACTGAGGGTGAGACTCCCTGTTTCTTGTGCTCACGTGTGTTTGAAAGCCAGGACAGCAGCAGGAGCAACAGGAGGCCAGATCAGCCTCTCAGACCAGCCTTCACTGGGTGTTAGTTGCCTCTGAGAGCCTGGACCCAGTTTCAAGGTTCAGAAACCAATTTGATGGATTATTCTTAAGGGTGGGACTGACTTCCATTGGATTGGTCACTCAGCCCACTAATGTAACTTCCCAGCACTCCTCTGCCCGAAGTCTTTCTTCTGGGTGTTTCTGGCATCTCAGCTCTCATTAGGTACAATGGGCCAGGTTAGCCTTAATCAGCCTCACACACTGCTTGGAGCCAAACCACGGGGGCCATTTGTTACGTTTTTAGGAATTTTGTGAGCTGAATACCATTAGTAACTTGACATCGGCTGTGGTGGGAGGATTTATACCATAGAAACCAGCAAATGCCACAAATCGGGGTCCTGTGTGGGTTTTGCTATTGCTTTGAGAGCTGGTTTTCCGGCAGCTAGCTAGAAGCACCCCCCTTATGGACTAATTCAGACCTGTCTAAAACGGTGTTCTGCCTTCCTTGATCAGTTGCCCTCAAATGCCATTACTAGCGTTACTTCACACCCACCAAAATGGCTGTATTTTTTTTTTTTTTTGAGAAAATGAAAATATGGGTAATTATAGTGTTAGTGAGGATGCGGGGAAATTGGAACTCCCATAAAATGGTGCAGCCGCTGTTTGGCGGTTCCTCAACAAATTCAGCACAGAATTACTGTCTGCCCCAGCGATTCCAGTCCTCGTTAGATACCCCAAAGAAGTGGAAACAAGTACTCAAACAGATACGGATACATGAATGTTCATAGCAGCGCTATTCACAATAGCCCAACGGTGGAAACAACCCAAATGTCCATCAGTGGTTGAATGGATTAGCAAAACGTGATATGTACACATAATGGAATGTTAATCACCAAAAATGAGTGAGGTACTAATACATGTTACAAGATGGGTGAGTCTCAAAAGCATTATGCTAAGTGAAAGAAGCCAGATATGAAAGACCACATATTGTATGATTTCATGTATGTGCAATATCTGGAAGAGACAAATCGAATCCATGGAGACAGAAAGCAGATTGCCAGGCTCCAGGAGAGGGAAGAATGGGCACCGACTGCTAAATGGGCATGGGCTGTTCTTCTGGAGTGCTGAAATGTTTAAGTAGAAGCGGTGGCTGCACATTTTAATATGCTAATTATTACGGAACGGTATACTTCAAAAGGGTTAGTTTTGTGTTATGTGACTTTTACATCAGTTAAAAAAATCCTTTCCTTTAGATCTTTTCCAGATTTTGCTTTTATATATAATCAAATTACTTTTACTTCTTTTGATTTGACTTTTGACCCACCCCTAGATATCTGCTAGGATCTAATACTAAGTTAGAAACTACTAACAATGAAGGCAGAATCAGGAGGGGAGTAACTGACTTTCTCCAGGGAGTCAAAGAGAAGGAAGAGCCATGTCTTCAAGCCCTGGGGAGGGGGGTGCAGTTCAGTCATCTAATGTAACTCAAGCCCTTAGAGATCTCACCTCGCACCCTAGTAATGTCATACAACAAAAGTGGACCTCTCTGTGTGGAGAGATTCTGCTGCTGTTAAGAAGCACAAGCACATGGGGCGCCTGGGTGGCGCAGTCGGTTAAGCGTCCAACTTCAGCCAGGTCACGATCTCGCGGTCCGTGAGTTCGAGCCCCGCATCGGGCTCTGGGCTGATGGCTCAGAGCCTGGAGCCTGTTTCTGATTCTGTGTCCCCCTCTCTCTCTGCCCCTCCCCCGTTCATGCTCTGTCTCTCTCTGTCCCAAAAATAAATAAACGTTGAAAAAAAATTTTTTAAGAAGCACAAGCAGAAGAAGAAGGAAAAGAATAAGCAGAAGCAGGAGAAGGAGAAGATTTTCTCCATTTCATTTCACTAATGATGATTTTTTCATATTCATTTTTTCTAGTTACAAAATTCATGTTCTTTGCTGAAAGTTTAGACAATGTGTGAAAACATGAAGAAAATTAAAGATCACCCAAAATCTCACCACCCAGAGATAACCCAGAGATAACATGACCACTGTTAACATTTTGGTGTAGAATAAATATATCCCAAATTGAATTATTGATTCTTCTCGTCACCTAGTGGTGTGTTGGTAAGCCAGCTCTCTGAAATAAAAGTCCTGACTTGTAACAACTGCTGATTTCTGTGGTATAAAAATGCTCCCACCATAGCTAATCTCAGGCTACCAATGTGACACCAAGAAACATGGAGTTGGGAAGACATACTGGATGGACTCTCCTACCCCCTCCACCCCACAACTCCGTCCCTCCGTAGTCCCCCAGTCTTTCCCCATGCCTCCCCATCTAGTCACCCACCCAGAGCCATTGTCAAGTGTCCCTCATCCCCAGATCTCCATTCCTGTCACTTCTGCCTCCAAAATGTCTGTAATCCATTGGCTTCTTTCGTTCACACTGCTGCCACCTTCAGTCCAGACACCGTTGTCTCATCTCCTTCCTGACGTTCTTCCCACTCCTGCCTCATCCAATTAATTTTCCCATAACAACCAGTTAAGTCTTAGAATACACACTGTATTATGCCATGTTGCAGTAAATGTCACCTTCAGGGATAGGCCTTTCTTGACTATCCCGTCTCTGAACCTGGTAGAGTAGAACTTAAAATCAGTTATTTGTTAACTTTTCATTTTTGTCTCGCCATTAGGATGTAAGCCCCGTGAAGCCAGAGACCATGCTATCTCACTTCTAGTGCCTGGCAGAACACTCAGCACAGAGTGTATTTGTGAAGGATTGAGTGCAATGAATTCAAGCTATTTATTCTATATGTTATATATTTGAAAAACTTTGGGATCATACCATGCATAAAGTTTTGTAACCTATTTTTAAAATTCATTTTACAACAAGTCTTACTTCATATACTTATTTATTTTTTAAGAGTGTGATTTTTTTTAATGGCTACATAGTATTTGCAAGAAATTTTATGTTGTGACTCACAGAATCCATTCCATAATAATGGACGTTTGGGCTGTTTTGGGTTTTCTCCTGCTAATAATGATTTTTTATTTTACTTTCGATTGTACAAAATCTTGATTGTCTCAAGATTTTTCTTCTGCTTTTTACAGTACAGGTCCAGTAGACATCTTGCAGATATTTAGAGTTGGCAGAGTGAATGAAGCCACAGAGTTTTTGAGCCAGCTTGGCAATGTGAAGTCCTTACTGCATGGATCTCCCGTACAAAGCTTTGTAGGGATCCTGTCCCGGTAAGAGGACACCATCTTTATTTTCCAAATGTTTCAGCCTCACGAACATGAAGTGTTTTACCCTTTTTCCTACTTTTTTTATACCCTACCTGGGTTTCTTCAGTTAAAACCAGCTTATTGCATTCCAGAGAAAACTGAGCCCTTTAAATTATAATTAAATATAATTTATTTATTATTATATGTATTTTAAAGTGTAGTACATGGGTATGAATTGCTTCTTGAAGACAGTATCATATGAAGAAAGGAGATTCTCTATTTCATGGCTCTTCTGTGTGTCTAATTTGGGAATGTCCAATACTTAAAGAGAAGGGTCTAGAAATTAGAGTACCTAGATGCTATGAGTTATCTATTCAAAACGTAACTCTAATTTCTGTTTGCTTTGAATAATCACTTAATATTAGAGCCAAACTGCACTCACAGAGAGCAGGGGAGAATATGATTACATCTGGGTCCTTAACTAAATACCTAAGAGGAAACATAAAAGGAAATATACAGGATACATCTAGAAAAAACGTTCAACTGCTGTTGAAGGACCCAAAAGACACTTACATTAATCGGAAGGATGCCAAGTTTCCTTAAATTAACCTATAAATTTAGAGCTATCACAATAAAAGTGCTAACAGGATGCTTTTTTAAGAAATAAAAAGCTGATTATACTGCACATATTTTTTTAAATTTGACTTTGCCAGAGTAATTTTGAAAAAGAAGATTAATGAGGAAGAATTAACCAGACACTAAAAACATGTTATAAAACTGTGTTAATTAAAACAGTGAGGTGTGCCCAAAAAGATGATTCTACAGAATAAAGAATCCAAAAGTAAATGCAAAAACATAGAGGGTTTAGTACATGATAAAAGTAGCTTTTATTTCTGTGGAAGAAAGATAATTTCTCCAATACTATGTACTGGGACAGATTAGTACCTGGAAAAATACAAAGTTGGATCCTTACCTCATTCCTCACACGTAGATAAACTCCACATGGAACAAAGATTGAAAAATGAAAATATAAAGGTACTAATTGAAAAATAGGACAGCTTTTTTAATAACCTTTAAGTAGGACTAAAACCCAAAAACCACTTTACAAAGGTAATTACATTTCATAACACAAAATTCAAACTGGAGATGTTCATGTAATAAACGCAGAAGTCTCCCTTTACCCACCTTCTCAGAAACAACAGGGTTTAACTTTGATTGCAGAGAGTTCTTAGCAATGCTAGAAGGCCTGCAGGATATGTGTAAGTTCTTGAGCCAGGGAGAAACGCAGTCAGCATTGGGCCTAAACATGGTTCTGCTGAGCGCTCGACCTTGGCAGGTTGGAGTCAGAGCCCTGACCCAAGGCAGGAAGAATGGCCAGCACCTCCAGGCTGGTCAAGACAGGGATGAGAAACTGACCATAGATTGGTACATGTGAATAGCACCTAGAAATCCTTCTGTGAGATTACTTTGAAATACATTTTTCTTTTCATTTCATGCTCTTTATTTATTTGTCTTTTTAATTGGTGTCTTTTTTCCAGCTTTATTAAGGTGTGATTGACAAATGATAATTGTATATATTTAGGTTGTACAAGGGGATTTTTTTAAATGCATAACATGATGATTTCATGTACATGTATATTGTGAAATGATTATCACAATCAAGTTAACACATCCATCACTTCATATAGTTATCTTTTTTTCTTGTGGTGAGAACATAAGGTCTACTCTTAGCAAAGATAATTTATTTTTATTCTTTATCTTAGAACTGAAAGTTTATACTCTTTAGCCAACAACTCCCCTTTTTCCCCAACCCCCACCTCCTAGAAACCACCACTCTGCACTCTGATTCTGAGTTCGACTTTTCTAGATTCCACATATACGTGAGGTTATGCAGTATTTATCTTTCTGTGTCTGGCTTATTTCACTTAGCATAATGTCCTCCTTGAATAGCACCTGTCTTTGCTAGAATTATGACCCTATAATTAAAAATACCCTTTCTTTTAGTAAATCATTTTAATGTCCTTTTCTTTTTAGTGGGTTGCTTTTACCCAAAGTAGTTGAAGATCGTGGCACAAAGAGAACAGACACTGGAAATCTTGGGAGTGGGATATATTTCAGCGATTCACTCAGGTTAGTATATTACATATACTATACATGATGTCTTAACCATGTTACTCACACCCATCACCAAGGATTTATACCCAAGTAGTTGCTATGTGGTTTCCTCCATCTTGCCTTTGTAAGGGATTTCTCATCCAAGAAACATATCGGTGAAAGCAACCAGTTTTCTCAGTATACCATAGAAATATGTATTTTGTGGTGGATATTTGGGAAAATTTTATTTTAAATCACCTTGATTTTACTATCCTGAGAGTCTTTACATATATTTACCCGCTTAATCCTTACAACAACCCTCTTAGGTCAGTTCTATTATTATCCCATATCACAGATGAGAACACTGAGGGACAGTGAGGGTATCTTGCCCAAGATCACATAGCATTTTGTCTTTCTCCAGGACCAGTGATCTTAACTTCTATAGCACATGACCTCTCATGTGCTTATACACATTATATACACAACTTATCATTTACACAACTTAAGTTGTGTCCTATCTATTGTAAATGAACTCTATGTGTATAGAATAATATTTCATCTTCAATATCCTTGTTAATATTTAAATCTGTCCCCACAATAGCCACAGGGTATTAAACACCTGCCCTGTGCAAGGCACCGGACTAAGTCCTTCACGTACATTGTCTATAAACCTCACAGGTTGTATTGTGACATCATTTCGTGACAAGGAAACAGATTGATGGAGGTTAAGTAACTTGCATAAAGTCACAGAGCTAGTTAAATGATGGAGCCTGGGTTCAGGCCGGGCCAGGATAATTAATTATCCAGGATATTTCAGGAATTCCTATGAAAATCCGTAAGAAAAAAATAACTCAAAAAGCAAATGGACAAAAGACATGAGTAGGAACCTAATAGAAGAGGAAACACATGGACGGTGTCATTTGAAAAGGTTACTAATCAATAATATGCAAATTCATCTATCATATACCATTTAATACCTATCAGCAAAAAAAAAAAAAAAAAAAAAAAAATAAGCAACAACTCTAGGTGTTGGTAAGTCTCTAGAACAGTCTGAACTCTCAGACACTGTCAATAAACTGATAAGCCCTCTTGAGGAAATGTTGGCATCATCTGCTGTAGTTGAAGAGCATAATTAATGGTGTGACTTAGGAATCCTATAGATTGGACTAGGAACCAGGAAGCAGCGGTTCTCAATCCTGGCTACACATTCAAATCACCTGGAGATTTTATTTTTATCTTTTTATGTTTTTTACTTGAAGGACTTTCTTTTAAAGTTTTCATTCAAATTCCAGCCAGTTAACACAGCGTGATGTTTGTTTCAGGTGTACAGGTAAGTGATCCAACATGTCTGTGCAACACCCAGTTCTCATCACAAGTGCCCTCCTTAATCCCCATCACCTATTTCACCCATCGCCCCACCCACCTCCCCACCTGGAGGAGCTTTTAAACACCACTGGTGCTGATTTCACCCCAGATCAGTCAAATCAGGATGTCTAGGGGTGAGGTTTTTAAGCTCCCTGGATGATTCAGCCTGAGTTGAGAATCACTTCCCTAGTGAGTCTACATAGACCAGGAGACATGTACACAGATGGCTAAGAAAACTGTAAGATCACTGGGAATGATGCAGATGTCCAATAAGAGTGGAATGGATCCAAAAATTTTGGTGTCGGCCTACATGGAGTCCTATATGGCAGTTGAGACACGTGTACTACAGCTACACGTGCCAAATGGAGGAGTCTTAGGAAGGTAACGTGGAGCAAATAATTGCTCTATGATTCTATATGTATAGAGTTTGAAAACAAGCAAAACTAAGCATACTGTTGAGGGACACATATCTATGCATCAATACTGTAAAAGAAAGAAAAAATAATATACACATAAACACAAGATAGCGATGAGATTACCCTCTGGGTGGCAGGGAAGGTAATGCCACAGGGCAACGTAGAAATATGGATGATGTTCTTTTCCGTTTTTTTGTTGTTGTTGTTGTTGTTTCAGTGTTCATTTATTGTTGAGAGACAGCGGGCACACGTGCATACATTTGCAGAACAGGGGTAGAGAGAGAGAGACAGTGGATCCAAAGCTGGCTCATACTGACAGCAGAGAGACCGATGCAGAGCTTGAACTCACTAACCATGAGATCATGACCTGAGCCAAGGTCGGGTGCTTAACCAACTGAGGCACCCAGGCACTCCTGTTCTTTTCTGTTTCTTAAACTTGGCAGGAGCTATGTGGTTGTCTGTCTTATCATTGTTCTTGAAACTTAACACTTATGGTATAAATGCTCTTTCCTCTGTACAAATCTTTCAAAGTAAAACTTTTTTAGATGTTAAGATTTTTTTTTTTTAACAAATTGGGATTCCGTTGAATTTAACCAAGTTGAAGTCCTTGGTGACTTTGGGACTTTGGACAGAGTGGTTTCAGTTGAGCCAAACTGCAACAGGCTGAAGGGTGATGGGCAAGCAAGCAGATAGAGGCAGCCATTGAGAAAGGTGGGGGATGGAGAGGGAGGAAGCGGAGGTAAAGTCAAGGGTCACAGGCTCAGCAGTCACAGGGAAACAAGTTTTAGGAGAAATGGGGGAAATTGATTATTTTTTTTAAGGGGACAGGTCTTGGGGCACTTGGAAAGCACAGTCGGTAGAGCTCGCAGCTCTTGATCTCTGGGTTGAAAGTTCGAGCCCTGCATTGGGTGTAGAGATTACTTAAAAATAAAGTATTGTTAATATATAAAAATTTTTTTTATTTTTATTTATTTTTTTTTATTTACATATGAAATTTATTGTCAAATTGGTTTCCATACAACACCCAGTGCTCATCCCAAAAGGTGACCTCCTCAATACCCATCACCCACCCTCTCCTCCCTCCCACCCCCCATCAACCCTCAGTTTGCTCTCAGTTCTCAATAGTCTCTTATGCTTTGGCTCTCTCCCACTCTAACCTCTTTTTTTTTTTTTCCTTCCCCTCCCCCATGGGTTCCTGTTAAGTTTCTCAGGATCCACATAAGAGTGAACCCATATGGTATCTGTCTTTCTCTGTATGGCTTATTTCACTTAGCATCACACTCTCCAGTTCCATCCACGTTGCTACAAAAGGCCATATTTCATTTTTTCTCATTGCCACGTAGTATTCCATAGTGTATATAAACCACAATTTCTTTATCCATTCAT